TGTCACACACACACCGCAAACAGAGATCAGAGCAGCAGAGCGTAACCTGGTGTGCTGCTGTGCTTTGAGGCTGCTGCATGTAGCAGCTTTGATGTGTACACATGTGAGAGGAGGTCTGGGTGAGCCTCAACTGAAGCCTGCCTATAAAAAGAGTGAAGGAAGGAGCAGATGATGAAGGGGCAACGCAGAAAAAAAAAGTACAAATAAAACCACAGAAGATTTTCTTTGTGGTGAAGAGCATCGTCTCTTCATATCCTCAGTCTAAGGGCTGCTAGTTATAGTCACAAATAACTAACCTGAAAAAGCTGTGCTTGAGTTTAGATCTAAATTAACCCCTCGTGATCTCGCTGTGAACACAATCTCATGACAAATTCAGTTTGAGCTGATAAAACAAATCATGGTTGAATATTTAAAAGCACAAAAAAGACAGCTTCTTTAGATAAAAAGGAGCATTTATCATTATTAATGCTGTTCTTAGTAGCTCATTACTTCTTAATGTATGACTACACAGATAATCAAAGTTAATAAATCTTTAAATGAAACTGACATCGTACATCAAGAGAAAACCAGCCGAGCGTCACATACTGTGAAATGTGTGCAAAGATCAATAAATATAATCAATGTGGCTTTATTGTTTATTATCATTTTTATAATATTTTAAAAATATTATACTTGAAGATAATTATTATTTGAAGAAGAGATTAAAGTAAATAATTAGACACGGAATATTAAAGCATAATTTTAGGATCTCTTGAAGCTGAACGGAAAAATATTCCGATTTTATTTTTGTGTGAAGAAATAAAATGTTTGCTTCCACAAAAGTGAGCCACACCGACTCAGCCCAGCACAGCTTCACCCCCAACACCAGTCAGTTTAATAACTGGGGAAGTGTGTGTGTGTTTGTTCCTACCAGTGGAATATGAAAATTGCAGTGATGAGGAAGGCTGACACCACATCAGTAAGAATCCACATCAGACTATATTCCTCTGGGGTCTAGAGAGACACAATAAAAGGATTTATTACATTTATTAAACAAAGAGTTCTGAGATTTGTTGGGTCACAGATGGAGGAGACTGAGCATTAATACGATTATTCAACACAGTGATGGTAAACGGACTGAACACTTGTTAAAATAATAATTGCACTGGAGCTGGAGCAGGAGAGGGTTATGTAATCAAATGCTCACAGGTACAATCTCCAAACACACACGACACCTGCTGCACAAGCTTCAGTGGATAACAACAAATTTTAGACGTTTTTTAGTGAATTACTCAGAGCCTTACCTGAAGCTTGCTGACACAAGCCTAAAAACTGTTTTCATCAGGCATAACGGGAGGGAATTATCTGAACCTAAGAAGAGGGACCACAGCTCAGACACTTCCCTTCTGCTTCTCTGTCATTAGCACATGGAGATCTGTCTCCTCGGGATGCTGCCAGTCCCCTCACAGGCCTTCACCAAACCGCAGCTTCATCCTTACACAATCTGCCATCATCTTCTACAAATGCTTTCATATCTAACAGAGTATGTGGTGCCAGCTTGTGAATAACTCTTTAATGAAGCATGAAATATATTACATGTAAATGCTTGTAAC